TGAAAACATCTGTTATTCAAATAAGTGCAATTTATTATGCTTTGTTTTAAAAAGTTAAAAATATTTCTTTGGACGTCCCCGGAGCTCAGTGGTAAGTCTCCCGGAGCAGATCAACTGCAATTGAAAAAAACGCTATTCGCTAAACATATCATGACATTAATATGAAAATGGAGAGCAAGTAAACTGGAACGATAACAATTTGAATTCTATACAATCTTTTAGATGAGTGGAGTGTATCTGAAAAAAACATTATCATTTTTTGCAATGATTGATTTTCTTTGAAAAAATGATGGGTAATAAATACTGAACAAATGAAAGAATGAATAAATTTGAACAAATGCTTGTGTTTATAAATGATATATGCTTTAAAATAATTCATTTCACAACGTTTTTAATTATTTAACGCAATTCATTCGGGGACTTGCCAGCCCAAGGGACGTCCCAAGAAATATTTTAAATTTTAATTGAAATAAAACAAAACACAGATGTACACATTTGAAAGAACATGTGTTTCATCAATATTACGACTATTCCAGATATTTATTCGCCAATTTTGTAAAAATCATTCAGAGTATGGGACGTCTGCATTGTTTTCAATTTCAATAACTTTCAATAACTTCATATTGGACCAGAACTGGCTTAAAACAAAACCTACAAAGGACTGATTTAGCCATTGCCCAAGATGGATTATTTTGTCTGAGAGGAAGCAGCTTTTTAGTTAATTGTGCGAAATTATTGTACTAAATGTAAAATCTCATGCTCTGGGGTCTTAATTAAATCTCATCCCGTGCCTAAGGTTGCCAAACGTTTTGACATGCTTTTAACAAAATAAGGCTCTCATGTTCACCATAACTAATATCAATCAATTTACTGGTCATATATGTAGTTTTCAAATAGCACAGTAATTTAATGTTTCTGGTTATATGCATTGTCCCGCAAAATGATATTTTGGGAAATCTTGACCGGGGGTTCGTTCGAACCCACCGAACCCCCGCTGGCTACGGCTATGTTAATACAAGTTTTTACGCGCTTAGCACGAGACGGGTTTTCGAAAAATCTGTTATCTGATTCACTCGATTATCGTATGGATATGTATTTCTGCTGACATTTCAACACCACATCACATAGAACTACGATGCAGAATGATAATAAAACACAAAACAACTACTAAATTCCACTTGTTATTTCACAGGAGGTAAAAATGCAAACTGCCTAGATTCTTTGTAAGGGTCGTCAGACATCGGATTGGCCGCCATATTTGAAATGAAAATATCACTAAATAGAGGTCTGCGCATGCCTCAACATTTCGACTGTTTTTGAGCATTTTTTCCATGTCAATTTCCTCTCAAGATTGAAAGTTTCCATGTATACTTCCTCTCGGACTTAAAAAAGGGAGTAAATTTCTTGAAATATTGGTGTATAACTATAAAATCCACTTTTTAGGTGATTTATCCCAGACCTTGCCAACTGATTTTACCGATTTATTACCATTATTTGTAGAAAAAACTGATTTTTGACTTAAAAAGGCTCTCTCTTTGACAAATTTTCCATGTTTTTTTCCTCTCAGATTGGCCAGCTTCCATGGTTTATGCCCTAAGCCAAAATTGCCCCTGATGCACATGCCTACTCAAATTATTTAGAGTGAACCCCCCGGGAATATACTTAAAAGATTATACATACAGAGAATGTTTGAGAAGAGCTGTCTTGGAGCTGGAGACATCACTGGGAAAATTCAATCCATTGATGCCTTCTTTCAGCAACAGCAACTGCAGCTTCTTTGCCTTCTTCCCTGTGCAGTTGCCCATCTTTTATATCATCATTATTAGCATTGTTTATATCATTTCATCCTGAATTAGTTACTATTCATAGCATAGGATATGCTACCAGATTCCCATTGAATGATCAATGAATTGACGAGGACTTGCACTTTTTTATAATGAGCTGCCAATTTTAGTTCAGGTAAAAGTAACCAAAGTATGTGACACCAAGATGGCAAGGATCATATGAATGAACAGTATGTAGATGAGGTTAACTGATTGATTATTATAAATATAGGAACAGTTTCTCCATGTTGTTTATCCATCCTTGATGTTTTCCCAGTCTTTGTTTCTGTGTATATTCTTAGTGTCCAAATGTGTAATGCTTTTATTGATTCACAATAGAAGAGTTGATGAAAACCTGTCACTTTCAATAAACATATTATAAGAAGGAATATTTTTGTGAAGACCCTTGGCAGATCTAGTCTCAATGTCAATCCTAAATAAGATATTGTGTTAGTATATACTCCTCAGACATTTATTGTTCCCATACCAAAATATAATAAGATAATGCTAAAGATAATATCATAATGTAACTCATGTTTAATGGTATTCTTTAGTCATAATCCAAATCTCTATAACTATTACACTTTATCCTGTCATATCTTCATCCTAATATATTGGAATCTAGCACATTTCTCACTGTGGTTGTTATCTCTTCAGCTTATTTGTCAGATTACAAAATCATATCTATTTAATTAAGGATTATATTACATTGACCTAGACTAGTTTTAGCCTTACTTATGTTGTCCCAAGCCTGGTCTGGTTCTTACCCGTATATATAATCCTAAATCTTTTCATACATGTATATGTAACATTGTACATTTGTGATTTTTCCTATTTGTTTTTGATAGCCTACACAATGATGACCAACAAAACTGACCATTTAGTTGTACTATTTCAAGTCCTCTTGTAGTGTAGTCTTATCTATATACTTGACTTTGGCTATAACTAGAATAATAGTCATGATAAAGTCAAATATCAAACTGAAATCACCAAAGAGTTTACATTGCACCAAGTTCACCTTTGAATTGTTTTATGTTCTGCTGTTGTCAGTATAAGTATCACCTGATTTCTCAGGTTTTTACTACATCTAAGTCATACTTAAATCCTTAATGACAGTGTCTTTTGCTTTTGACTTATGCATTAAGGCATTTAACCTATGGCCGAAAGCTAACTTCTTATTCAATCTTTACTGTACATCAATATATTTGACATTCAAGTATGGTAAAAATCCCTGAATCCCATCATGATCAAAGTTGTGACGATATCATGGCGATCTCTTTACTTAATATTTTACAACAAAAAACAGAAGATTAGTGCAATAAAAACCTAAAATACCTAATGTAACACAAAACCAATGTTTTCTTTCAATTGAATTGATAATATCAAAGTGGATAATTAATTTGATGAGAAAAATGTATTTTTATTTGAATACCATCCAAGGTTTATAATTTTTCTAATTGAAATGCTTACTTCAGTATAGAACTCTAACCTTGCGTTTATTTATTTCACCTAACACAAATGAACATAGTGCCATAATTTGTATTAAATATTCTAGCTTTTTCTACAGGTATTTTTCAGAATATTTTTGAATGGGAACAATAAAGTGAGATAAATATCCTGAAATTGTCAAAACCTTACTGCCTCAATAAACACTATGTTGACTTCTAGGAATAAACTTAGATTAAGTCCTTAAGCCATTCCAGGTTTGAGCCACATTGTATCCTTATTACCTATCCAGCTTCATGATTTGAACAACAATACAACAGATCTCCAATATTTTCCACATTCACTTTTCCTTAGATCTTTCCTCCAGCACTTATTTATGATGTTTACTCTCACGTTAAACACTGCTAAACAACAACAAACCTTCTGGTCTTTTGCCAAAATATTGCAATGAGCAGTTATGTCTTTTCATATGATTCCTTCTTTAATATTATAATGTAAGAAAAAGCATGGCTACTATTCACTTCACCTTTCTCAGTCTAAACAACAAATCAAATGCATTTTCTCAATGAGGTATTTTCAGTTGTGTTTTTCCAATATTCAGTGGCACAATGCTATTTACAACTGGATGGACATAATAAATGAGAAATAATCCGCCAGATTGTCTAGTATTTAAATATGAATGCCAAAATCAATAGCAATCATTTTGTTAAACCAACATCACCGAAAATACCTTTTGTGCTCTTTTAAAGTTCAATTTCATTGTTGCCTCAATGTTATAGAGTTTTGATTGAAACTGAATACTTGCAAGTACATCAATTATATAGTTTTCAACTTTCTGGTTTTGTACTTTTCACAGTTGAAGTAGTTCAATAATTAGTGTAAGGTATTGTTTCATTATTCACAGATGTTATTCCTATCACAGATGAAGAATAAAGCACCACCACCTTACACTAAAATGATGGTCAGTTGTAAGTGCTATTAGGAAATTATTCAAATGGCTATATACTTGTATCTTGCAAATATGAGTTTCTTTAAATTAAATCTATGAAGTCATGTTTATTTGGACTGGATCTGCATATTTAAATCTAGAAAATGACTGTTCTCTTCACACTGCTGACAACACTGGCATATTTACAGGAGCTACAGCAGTCAGTGCAAAATTAAATGAATTTCTTCTTGAACAATTACTACAAATAATAAAAAGATTATTCCAAAGTCTGAAGTACTCAGCCAGATTCATCCAAGCAGTATGAGTGTGTAGTATATAAAGAGAAGTGTTCACTTACATTGTTCTATAAAGAGAAGTGTTCACTTACATGGTTCTATAAAGAGAAGTGTTCACTTACATTGTTCTAGAAAGAGAAGTGTTCACTTACATGATTCTATAAAGAGAAGTGTTCACTTACATTGTTCTTTAAAAAGAAGTCTTCACTTACATGGTTCTATAAAGAGAAGTGTTCACTTACATTGTTCTAGAAAGAGAAGTGTTCACTAACATTGTTCTAGAAAGAGAAGTGTTCACTTACATGGTTCTATAAAGAGAGGTGTTCACTTAAATGGTTCTATAAAGAGAAGTGTTCACTTGCATGGTTCTAGAAAGACAAGTGTTCACTTGCATGCTTCTATAAAGAGAGGTGTTCACTTACATGGTTCTATAAAGTCACACATACACATGGTTTATACTGATTATACACATTAAATGCTGGTAAGTTGTGAATGATTTTTACTGACCTGGCTTGTTCAATCCTCTCGGTCTCTGTCTTGTACTGTCTTTCAAGCTCTAGGCTAAAATGTACAATCAAAGCACTAATACACATGTCTATATGAACAGCATAAATATACATCAATAGCAGAAATTAACAGAAACAGTTTAAAACAGAACATTTAGTCTAATTAAAAGATGACACTCAGTATATCACTAATTTACAAGAAAATCTTATATCAATTCACTAATTGGAACAATACAATGCTTGTATCTTAATATCTTAATATTTTGACATGGTGCAAAATAAATTGATTTCAATTTTAATATAATACAATTACTTATATCATAATAATATCATAATTTAACACAATTGATAAGCTATCAAAACTAGAAAAACAGCAACTCCACGGAGTAGCAAATCCCACCAAACAAAACATATTTTGCTTACTAGTGGCCATCTTGAAAATTACTTCTTGAGCAGAGCTTGTTTGTCCCAAGGCATCAACATATAAAATGTAGACCATGATATCCATCAATAAGCATTTGATTTATCAAAGATTACATTCCTTTTTTACGAAAAATGGCAGCCATTTTGAAATTGTTCTCGAACAGAGCTACTGTGTCCCTAGGCATCAGCATATAAAATTTCAAAAAACCATTCACTCCTATTTGAGTTATCAAAGATTACATTTTTTAGGAAAGATGGCCGCCATTTTAATATTTAGCAGGCATTTTGAATCTCTTCTTCAGGGTAGCTTTTTTGTCCCTAAGCATCAGCATATAAAATTTAAACCAAATCCTTCAACTAGTATTTGAGTTATCAAAAATTACGTTTTTTATGAAAAATGGCCACCATCTTTATATTTAGCAGCCATTCTAAAAATCTCTTCTTCAGCGTAGCTACTTTATCCCCAGGCATCAGCATATAAAATTTGAACCAAATCCTTCAACTAGTATTTGAGTTATCAAAGATTACGTTTTTTAAGAAAAATGGCTGCCATTTTGAAATTCAGCTGCAATCTTGAAAATTCTTTCTAGAACAAATCTACTTTTTCACTAGGCACCATCATATAAAATTCAAACCAAATCTGTCCACTGGTATTTGAGTTATCAAAGATTAACTGTTTTTTTACGAAAAATGGCCACCATTTTTATATTTAGCAGCCATTTTGAAAAACATCTTCTTCAGGGTAGCTCCTTTGTCCCTAGGCATCAGCATATAAAATTTGAACCAAATCCATTCACTGGTATTTGAGTTATAAAAGATTTTTTTTTACGAAAAATGGCCACCATTTTGATATTTAGCAGCAATTTTGAAAATCTCTTCTTCAGGGTTGCTCCTTTGTCCCTTGACATCAGCATATAAAATTTGAATCAAATCTGTCTACTAATATTTTAGTTATCAAAGATTATGTTTTTTTATGAAAAATGGTGGCCATTTTGAAATTCAGCCGCCATTTTGAAAATTCTATCTTGAACTACTTTGTCCCTCGGCATCATCATATAAAATTTAAACCAAATCCATTTACTGGTACATGTATTTGAGTTATCAAAGATTATGTTTTTTACGAAAAATGGCCACCATTTTGAAATTCAGCAGCCAGCTTGAAAATCTCTTCTTCAGCATAGCTCCTTTGTTCTTAGGCATCAGCGTATAAAATTTAAACCAATTCCGTCAACTAGTATGTGAGTAATCAAAGATTACATTTTTTTACGAAAAATGGCGGCCATTTTGATTTAATTGGCCAGATTGAAAATTCCTTCTCATGGAGAGGTTCTATCGCCATAAGCCATAAGCCTAGAAAATTTGAATCAAACCCGTCAACCGGTATTTGAGTTATCGCCTGGACAAACAAACGGATGGACAACTTTCCTATATCCCCCTCGAACTTCGTTCGGTGGGATAAATATGCACAACCCACAAAACAGCCATGGCATCGCAAAGGTAATGCAAACATAAATTTGAATATAAAGCATAAAAGCAACAAAAAATGGAGGAATTTTGATGAGTAAAAAAATATTGAAAGCTGACTTCTCTTTCCTTAACACAACAGTATAGGGTTTTGAGCACATCAAAATAATATAACTGTAATAACATGCAATTTTATATTTTGTGCTACTTCCTTTATCAAATACAAAGATATAATTTTTAGTTTGAAGAATTATGGAATTTAAAAGAAAGATTGTAAATGTTATTAACAGAAAATGAAGAAAGAATATTTTAAAGTAAAATGATGATTATTGGACCCTTACTCGAAAGTATGATGATATGATGACAATGCATTTTCTCTTATAAAAGGGAAAAATCCTAATTGTTTAAGTTGTTATGTTTGTGTAACTCCAGGGAAAGCCAGATGGAATAAACGGATGTCCTTTTCATCACTAATACATTGTTCATTGTTCATGTACTTTGATCTGAAGCCTTTCCACTTAATTCTTTGTTTTATTGAGAGAAAAGCAAGTCCATCATAAAAAGGATATAAGTAAAATGATGCACAGCATCAAGATGCACAATATGTAGGAGTAATGGTGTTCATGCCTGGCATTAAATTATCATAAAAGGAAAATATTAATAGGGTTCTGTGTTTTATATAAAAGCCCTGGGTTCAAATACTTACCATATTTCCATCCATGAGTCTGTTGGACTGTTCAGTTAAAACAATAAACAATGGAACGAGTTTAAACCTCTTTGTTTATTAATTACTGCTTTATATTTAATACAAGTTCAATTATATAAGACTTAACCTTTAATAAAAACATATTTCAAAGAAAAGACTGTCCCGAGAATAAAAACATGAGTTAAGGAAAATACTTTCAAGACAATAAAAATTAAATTAAGGAAGATAAATATTTGTACACTTACACTGGATTGAAGAACATGAGAGGAGAAAAGTTGGTTGGAGAAGCAGGTGTGTCCATATCTATACCACTGGATGTGTTTAATGTATTGATAGAGCTTGCTGAGCTACAACGTGATAATGCCCCTGGCATCCTAGCATCACCCCCAGTAGACTGAAATGAAATTATCATATTAGCACATTACATGCAACTAGATACGTGTATGCTTCAATTAATTTAAAACTTAATAATCAATATACAGGGTGTCAAAAAACAACAGCAACCCCCTCTACAGCAAAAACTCATTAATTATTACATGACGTGTCATATATCATTTGAAAGATAATTTAATTCTGGAGTTTCATTTAATAAAATTTTATATTTAAAAAGCTACATTGTTTCAAAGTTTGCTACTTCAGAACTTTGTGAGGATGTATTTCTGAAGGATGTGAGCAAAATGCTACAAGGATAACGCAATGCTACACCTCGAATCTTTATTTAGCACAATCCATCAAGGTTAGCTGCTGTTTGCACAGCAAGTGGTGCCAATACTAACTACTAAAAATAGACTGTAAAATCACATGATACAAAGCTGAAATTTTTCAGGTAACTCCAGAATTTAATTATTTTTCAAATGAGATATGACACAGAATGTAACATTCAGTACTTTTTGCTGTAGGGGGATGCCGTTGTTTTTGACACCCTGTATATTTTGAGACAATTTAATTGTCTTTCTAACTAGATGTTCTTTTTTAATCCATAAGGTGACATGGGGCCATTAACAGAAACATTCTAACATTAAGAATTCCTCAAGCCAATTACTCTCAATGTTATCATATCCATGGTAACAATGAATGTTTATTCCAATGAACGAACAAAGTTCTCAATGCCCTCTATCCCTCAGTCCATCCGGAACATGACTCAAATACTAGTGGACAGATTTTTTATTATATTTGTTGGAAAGATGTATACCGTTTTCGCCATAAAAAGCACCAAGGGAGGGCACTTTTGAAATTGAAATTCCCATTGTAACTCATTACAAAGAGAGCCTATATATTATGAAAGAAGTTAAAAATCCCTGGGAATCTCATGTTTGGGAATTTTTCTTGCCAAAAATGACTTATCTGCAACATCAAAACGAAAGTAACAGCATATTTTTACAATAATGAGATGTATCGTTATTGGAGAGAATATGATTAAGATCGCTAAAATAAAATCTAACTATATTGACAGTGATTGAAGAACTCCCCAGCAGAGCCCCTCGAGGTGAAGGAATTGTTTTCCGCAATTATCTTCAATATTTCCCCTATAGACTGTTAGATATCAGTCTACATTTAAGCCTGATCATTTTAATTTGAAGACAGATCATCATTTTTTCATGTAAAAGTTGTGTTAAGTCGAGGAATCTTAAAAAGAAATGAGAAAGTTCATGACCTTGACATGACCTTCACTATCGCGACTTAGAAAAAATTTCGAAACAAAACTCTGAAACATGAACATTTCCTCCATTCATTATGAACTATTTTGAGATAATATTAGTTAAGTATGATGTGGGAAGCACCAACTGATAGATATTTATCAGGCGGATGCATCGTATTTCAAAATGCGCCATGTTTTCTGCACTTTCTTACATTTAAGTGTAAGTACTCTTTTACCGCCCACTATATTTCTTTGGAAATTTGATTTTTTCTCATATATTTGTTAATACTTGGACATTCTTAGATATTTCTTGAGCTCTGTGAAGCGAGGTGGGTGCTTATTAGGGGTGGGCCCTTAATTCGGCGGTAACGGTAGTTGTGAATAGTTTTATAAGATATTTTTTAAAATGGCCCCTGCTTTGAAAATGGCAGGAATTTAAGCTAGAACTTAAGTTTTTTTCTGATGTATTAAGTACCACTGTTTCATAGATTACAATAAAATATTATATCTATTTCACATTTATTTTTCGTTTTTCAGCCTGACCCCAGGGGCTTTGTATATAGGGGTAAAAACAGAAATTTTTCGTTTATCTTTTATCCCTCTGAAATATGGCTTAATTATACTCAAATTAAAGACATTTGAGAGTTCATTGTAAATATTGTATCAATTTTCAGATTTGTCCATCACAAAATCCAAAATTACCACCTGACATGCGTGTTTTGGTACTCTAGTCAGAAATCACAAACATAACCCCCTGGGGTCATGTACACTGTACAAGGGTTGAGAAAACAGAAACTTTCATTTATCATGAGATCTCTTAGTTTGACTTTATGATTCTCAAATGAAAGGTATTTTAGAGTAGAATTCAATTATAGTATTATTTTTCTGACCTGAGCCTCAGAAAATCCAAAATGGCTACTGGATGTTTGAATTTGTAGTAATCTGAAATATTTTCTGAGTAAGGCTTTATAACAGTGAAGGTATTTCTTTTTAGATTACATCACAATTATTATTGTATCATTTATCTTATTCATGCTTCAGAAAATCCATAACTGCCACCTAATGCGAGAATGTTGAGCAATTATTCTTAACTTGACAATGTTTCTGTAAAAATCCACAGTTTATCAATAAATAAGATATAAAACTTGTGATTGTCCTTACCATTCTATGTTCACGCAACTTCAAGGCTTCCTGGGGATTGTTGAATCTGAACATGTTTGTCCTTCCAATCAGAATCACATCTCCTACAATATCATGATTTACATATATGTAAATTAACTCCCTGTACCAAAATGATTTCAATCAAAGTTAACAATACAGTGATTTTCCTTGAACTTTATACTGAGCAACCTAGAACAAGTGCTCTCTGAGAAAAGCTATTTCTGAATTGAGATCTGCCCCAGGAACAATCCTATCTTAACATCACCCCAATCATCTTCTTCTTAAGTTGTATTCACAATCTACTTGCTGTGAAGATTGTCAATATCTGAGGTAGCATACAGGTAAAAAATACTGAAGTTTACCATGGCACAAGAACATCTAATTGATTTCCAATTTCCACTTCCTCAACTTTTATTCAGATTGATATCATTTTACAGTGCAGAATTAGCAAATTCTGATTACATGCTCTAAATAATGTTTTTTGTGTGTTTTGTGTATTTGAGTCTATCAAAGATTATATTTTTAAAGAAAAATGGTGGCAATTTTGAATTGGGCAGCCATAATGAAAATACCTTCTTGAGCAGATATCACTTATAAGGCATTAGCCTATAAAATTTGAACACAATCAATCAACTAGAATTATAGTTATTGAGATTCTACAGTCAGACAAACAGATGGATGGATGGCTTCTCTATATCCCTCTCAAACTTTGTTTGGCAGGACAAGAGGCTCTGACAAATACATACATTTCCATGGAGACATGTTTTCAACATTAGTTAGCTACCTGAACCTTCTAAAGTATAAACCCAACTAGATGTACCTTGACTCAGCCTGGTTGGTTCAGTGACTTCTACACCATTCACAACTAGATAAGCACCAGGACAGGGTCTTATTGTCACTTCATTATCCTGATTCTTGATGACACAGTGTTTGGGTTCCACATCTGGACCATGGACAACTGCAATAAGAATAATAACAGAGTGGTTGATAAACAAATCAATACACACTGCTACAGCTACGGCAATATACAATGTTTTATCCTATGACAAGTGAGGTATCAAGTACATATCAATGGGATATAGAATTGATATCTCAAGTGAGCGGGACATATATATATTTCCCACTGTATATATTCCGCTCCAATATTCCCGAAAAATGTTTTTGTTTAGAGTAGAAACTGTCAATTTTTTACAATGCCTTATTATGAGAAACTGTCAAATACAGGGCGTTCAGTAAGTAAAGCTAATTTTGCTTTCAAACTTTTATTTTTTGTAATTTATCTTTCAAATTTTCAGTGAAGAAGCATTTGACATAACTAACTAACTACCCTGAAAAATTAAATAAGATATGATGAATAATAGCAAAACAATGGTTGTCATAGTAACGTGAATACGGGTTCTGCGGAGCGATTTCTTACTTTAATAAAAATGTTATAATGCAATGAAATTGATTAAGATTAATGCTGCATATGTCTTTGTTTGCTATGGCTGAAAGTCACGACAAACATAACAACAACATACACAAATATGATACCATGGCAACAGTAGTCGATGACATCACAGACAGATGATACAACAGATGGAATGATCCAGAATGATCCATCAGACACTGCTCCATGACATCATAAAAATCATGGCTGCCAGGATTGCCATCTTGTGAACGCGATTCGCAAGAAGAGGCCCCATAGGACTCTCAACTCCTACATATTCCATCAAGATAATGCGCCATCGCATAGGTCGCAAATGGTGCAGGATACTATCCAGAAAACACTGGAGATGGAGGTTCAAGGCCAGTCAGCCTATTCTCCTGACACGGCACCGTGCGATTTTGGGGTATTTTCATGTTTGAAAAATGATCTGCGTGGTAAGATCCACGCAAATATCCATAAGCTTCAGAATGCCGTTCAACGTTCGCTGACAAAGAACTTTCCAGATGGCTTCCACAGGATATATCAGAAGTGGATAGAACGACATCAGCTGTGTGTGAAAGCTAAGGGGAACTACTTTGAACATGATATAGAATGCTAACTTGAAAGTAGAAATGTGGAGTAGCCACAGAACTATGGTTGAAATATAGACAGGACAGAAACTAACGTTAACAAAATCTACTATGCTGTGAACTTATAAAATTGCTCCGCAGAACCCGTATTCGCGTTACTATGACAACCACTTTTTTGCTGTTATTCACTATATCTTTATCATTTTTTCAGGATAGTTAGAAAAGTGTCTGATGCTTCTCCACCGAAAATTTGAACGATGATAGACAAGAAATAAAAGTTTGAGAGCAAAATTAGCTTTACTTACTGAACGCCCTGTAGATGCAATAGAATTTTACTTAACCAAAATGTTGATGAATTTTTCGAAAGTAATGAGAACGAGAACACTTTAAGAAAACAAACCTGAGTATGGGGCCTAAAATCCTCACTCGTGAAACCTCACTTGTCATAGGATAAATTAGTTTTATCCCATACTTGGACGTGTTCAGGTACATAAAGCCGGTTTGTAAAAACTTATATTTTCATCAGCGGGCAGATATACAGGGTAGTCCATAAGTTCCAGGAATGAGTCTGGCATTTCATTAATATTTGGATAATGTGCTTGATATTTGGCCAGAATGTGTATAAACTATCTGCTGACCATCTTGCAAAAATTCATGGTGATCCATGCATAACTGCTGTTAAACTGGTTACCATGGTAACGTGACCACGTGGTATGCGGGGCACTATTTTAATGTTGCGTTTTTTATTTTTTTGATGTGACACAACTTCTTGCTAAAAACCACACACTTCACTCCCAGCAACCTACTTGTTATGTTGATAATCAAAATATATCCATAACAATGACTAATGACATCATTGATGACATCACAACTGTCAATGGGGTTATATTGTGGGTTCAGGTCACTGTCTTGTGTGATGTCATAATTGTCATTTGCCAACAAAGCCCCACCATTTTTGAAAATCAGCCATCTTGAAAACCAAAAGAATGTCATCAGGGAAAGAATATTCAAGAATAAGACAAAGGACATCTATCCAAGACTGTGTAAGAAATGGAATGACAGCTCCTGAAACTATAAAGTTCCTCAGGAATGCATATGGAGATGGTGCTATGTCAACAGGTAGGATCTACCACTGGCACAAACGTTTCTCCTCAGGGAGGATCTCACCAGAAGATGACCCTAGGTGTGGCCGTCCTTTAAGAGATAGGACACAGACAAATAAGGATAGGATTGAAGAAGAAATTTTCCGTGATAGACGGATTTCCACAAGAAATCTTGAAGGAAAACTTAATATAAGTAAAACAACCATAGGCAGGATTATCAAAAATGACCTAAAAATGCGCAGAGTAAAGGCAAAATGGGTGCCACGATCGCATCAAAAAAATAAAAAACGCAACATTAAAATAGTGCCCCGCATACCACGTGGTCACGTTACCATGGTAACCAGTTTAACAGCAGTTATGCATGGATCACCATGAATTTTTGCAAGATGGTCAGCAGATAGTTTGGACACATTCTGGCCAAATATCAAGCACATTATCCAAATATTAATGAAATGCCAGACTCATTCCTGGAACTTATGGACCACCCTGTAGCTTTATGTCCCGCTCTGAGCGGGCAGATATAGTATATCTGCCCGCTACGTCATAATCGCTGTTCCCGTATTGGCTCTTTTTTGTAACGTTCGCGCGCATACTGTAAACGACAATGGAGAAAAACGCAGACAATCGCGATCTGTTTGATGCTTTAAAGAAGGGAAGGAGCAGTATGCCCCGTTAATAATCAAATATTTGAACAGGAAAATCCGGCTACGGACAAGAATACAATACTGGACATGAATATTTTAAATAAGTCCACGGTTGGTTGCAAAGTTTCTGAGCTTTGGCCAATTGAACAATGTGATTGGTATGGGATAAACAGATCATCCTATAGTCGGTTCAGGATATTGGGATTATCCCTTGGCCAATATAATATATCTACCCTCGGGACCTACGGCCCTCGGGCAGATATATTATATTGGCCTCGGGATAATCCCAATATCCTGAACCTCATATAGGATAATCTCTATATGTGATGCTTGGTTTTGAATATGGGGTATATCCCTCGGGAAATATAATATCTTACCTCGGACCCTACAGACCCTCGGTAAGATATCTATATTTCTCCCAGGATATACCCCATATCCAAAACCTCCCAAAACATAAGCCTCATGTATTCATGTATTCTAAATTTGCAAGTATTTTTCTGTCAATATTAGTGTGCTTACTACATATCTACAGCAGTGTAAAAAGGAAATCTAGCTTTAGTTAATGAATCTTGACAGATACAAAGGCTAAACACAGAAAATCTGCAATCAACAAATGTATTATATATAAGATTGTAATAGCAATCGTTTTTACGTGTTATCTCTCTGTTACATTGGCTTAATAGATTGATCGTATGTTAGGATACTAGCATTCTGAAAAATGATTTCTCTATACCTATATCTGGCTCATGCACGGCATCTCCTCCTCCCATTCTGGTCGTCCCCTCCTTCAGGTTATACATCACCACACCTGTACTCAGGATGTCATCATCCATGCCTGTGTGCAGCAAATAAAATAACATAACAAAAGCTTTCATGGTGTAACTCAAGAACTTGACCTTAGATAGCTTTGAACATTCACCGTAGTAGAATAAAGATGTCTTCTCCAAATAATATTCTAAGAGTATCTAGTTTTAATCAAGTTTCCCTACATTAAAACATGTCTATAGCATGTGCCTCAAGATGAAACCCACACATTGCATAAGAGTATTTTTTATAAAGCACATATGTTTGTACAAAAATTACAAGAAGTATACCTATCAAATGAGGAAGCGAACTGTCCACTATGACACCAAGGGAACTGGAACGTTGTCTCAGAGATCTTATTGTCATGTTAGACTCCTGTAAATTAAATATAATATACACAGTATGTAAAGCAATTTGCCATTAATTGAAGAAATGAAAGATGGAAAATGTCTTTAGTCACATCCATTCAAATTAGAAACAGCTTTAACATGGTTATCGTTGTATGATATAAATGGACTATGGCAAACTACATATGTATTTGTGAGTAATATGACATTGGTAAAATTACATTGATGAAATATTAAGGGCATGTTGAGTAATGAATAAGGTAATGTTGTTCAGTTTCAAATTTGCTCACTATAGCGAATGCGGAATGTTAGTATACTTTAAGGAAAAGAGAGCTTGAGCGACTTTCAATTCCAATTTGGCATAAGTGTGTCTCATTTTGGCATACATGTACACATGTCACATTCTGGCATAATCGTTCATATCATAAGGAAAAGTAAGTTTGCTTCCACATGAGGTACTTGTTCCTTGTCTTGAATGAAATTGTATCCATGTAACTAAGCGTATTTCTTAAGAAGAATGATGTGATATGATGGGCTCGTTCCACACATAATGTAAACAATGCATCTCTCAGAATCTCTTCCACATTGCATTCCAAAGGAGGTTGATTTATGCAATGTAATCTATTACCTTAGAGGCAAAGTGCAGTTTGAAAGTCAATATCAGTGTAGTAGACTAAACGTCTGGGTATAAAAATGTGTGCAAGTGAGACATTAGTTAGGGCTACATGGACTGCAGGTTTTAAGAAAGATAAGAGCAGGTTAGAGAGGGCTAGATAAAAATGTAAGAAAGTGGAGGAATGTTTAAGATCTTAAGAAACGGAATTGCGTAGAACTTTGTACTGAACATTAGGAAATAAAGTGAAGAAGAAATTGATATAAAGTCTCAGCCTTTATGTTTAGGAACTTTAGATCCGTTTACCAATAAGGGACATAAAAAACATTGATCATAGACTTTGATCAAGATGAACATTGGTGGTCATCAATAAACTGACATATTTCTTCCAGAATTTCTGTTAAGAATAGTTCTGTAATATCATAATTCTGTCTTGTATAATTCAATAGGTTGATATAATTATTTTGTTCCTTGTCTTCACGTATTGCCTCTGATAGCGTGAATGAATATGAGACTGCCGCAATATAGCAAATGGCTACAACAAACCTGCATGACATCTTGTGCTTCCTGCCATCTGTTGATCCAGCCCTCAGTTAAAGCCTTTGCCTACAACATACAATGGTCATTATATGAAACCTGCTTTTCCGGTGTCATATGTTATTTGCGATGTTCCTTAGTTTAATCTATTATTGAACTGCCATGTACAACCCCATAGTACAGATGAAATGCAAAATATCAAAAATTTCTAAAAACTTTATGAGGGTTGGAGTCTCAATGTCAACATTCTGGTAAGAAGAAGTTCAGGACAACAGGTTTTATTAGGGAGGAGATTTAAATAGTGAACAAAATTGATTTTTTTTAAATCAGGTGAGAAGCAAATCAACATTTTCAAATTTCCTATTTGGGAGGAAGAAACGTGGTAACACTATAGTGAAATTATCTTCATTTTTGCACAACTGTAATCATTTGGACATCATCTATAACTTTTACTTCTTTTAAAAAAGAGGACTATTCAAATGCACACCTACCTTTGCTTCATTCTCCTCAAGCCTCTCAGCTATCATAGATCCTGTCAGAGAGCCACAGTCACTCTGTAATGATATCACAGATCCTGCCTGAAACAATGGAGAGGTAGAGTGAACAGTTGCTACTTTGAAACAATAGTTTTGTATATAAAACAGAAGAGACTGATGGATGAGACCATATTGCTTCATATTAGGCATATCATAATTAAATGCATTGAACATGTGAATGATGACATAAAAAGGGAAATATTTGTACATGCAATCAGAAACTATTCAGCTATTCAGAAAGCTACAAGTATCTCAATTGATGGAGGCATGAGACAAGCATAAAAACACAGCTAAAAATCTTAAAGCATCAAAATTGGTTATTAATTGTGCTCTATCACAAGGTTTGCAGTAAATCCCGCCTTGTAAAGTATCACCATTAAATGATTATGGCAGCAATGCAGTCGTTTAAAACTGAGGCGAGCTAAAGACCGATACAAAAGTTGAGAGCAAAATTATGCATTTTGATGAGAGCATTCAGATGAATACCATAACTGCTCTATTGTAAATCCACTAATGAATCAGGTATTTTCAAAACTGAAAACAAACTATGAAACTATGTTACATGTGCACGTGCCAAATGACAAAACATACATAAGAGCACACTTAGAAGATGATAATAAAAACAAAGATTGTGTAACATATATAAACAAGGCATTAACATGCTAAATGTCACCACCTGCCATTTGTTACAGACACCAACCACTGACTGTTGTTACAGACATAAAACACCAACCGCAACAAAAAAGTTGTGGACTATTACAATATGTCAACACTTCTGGCGGTGACATAAGAAGTGGTGCATGTTAAAAGTGTTTCAATTTCAACACTGGTCAGGATACAGCATTAAGTCCTGGCTGAGCGGGCAGATATAGCTCATCTGAGCTGATTTACACATATAATCAGAAAAAGCTACTTAAGTAAGCTACGTGTATATAGTATAGTACTAAGTAAAGAGACTGTGGAAAACCACCCAATCCCACTCGTGACAACTGTATTCACCTCCGGGAAATTCTGCCAAACAAAGCTTCCTATTATGTCCAGTTGGGTCGATATAGCTTGCTATAATTATGTTTTTATGTGAGAAACGATATTTTAAACAAAATTGAAAATAAAGATTTTGAAACGTTAGAAGTATGAAGATTGTAAGCCTATTAAACATAGGCAAATTGTAATTTCATCATCATGCTCTGACACGGACAGTCAATGTCATAGAAATTTGAGCAATATGCGAATGCCTTGTGATGGACATGTATACGTATTGTTAATTTTTTTGATGTTGATGTGTTTCTGTTATACAATAAAGTTTTTATATTTCAAAATGTCATAAAGTTAAGTCATATTTTGTAAACTAAATATATAGTCTGGTTTTGTTTCATACAAAAATCAGATATGAATTTTAAACTAATGATTTTATGGAGAGTCATTAATATCATGGGATAAAAAGCTTATTTACTGGTCAGGTTTAAATATGGGTTGATTCCTCGTGAATATATACCACCAGTAGTTCAAAAGTGAAGGTGATCAAACATCCATGCATTGCTCTTAACTATATCATTGTGAACTTGCATGTAAGAACTTCTAATTGACATGCAGTTGAATCTGAAATGGATTCTAAAATGTTGCATCAGAGATGCTATCAATCACACAACATTTAGTTCAAAGATACTGGTTAAATCATATTTGAAAAATATCCTCCAAACTGCAGTGCTCATATTCTCTAAAATATTTCAGGAAATTGCCCTCACTGAGTGGAAGTGCAATCATTGGAAGTGCAATCATTGGAAGTGCAACCAGTCCTCGGGTTTGAGTTTAACCTTTTTTGTCCAACAAAAAATATTTTCGACAATTTGATACATATTATATATAACAAGAACTATGAATTCATTATCACATTTTAAATGATTTAGCCTACTCCCCCTACAAATACAACATCTTGGGGAATATATACTCTTGTAGGACTTGTTTTTTTCAATTGGGGTAGATATTGACCTAAAGGGAAGAATTCTATTTATTTTGTTGATATTTCACGTTCAACAAACACAATTTCACCAATAATGATGCATATATACACTTACCTTATACTTATTACTTATACTGTATCTCTCGAGACTCTATAAAATTGATTTAACTCAGAGCCCTGGCGAGAGGACTGGCTACACTCATTTACAACGGTTCTACTTCCACCCAGTGGTTCCTTTATATAATATCATGTCTGAGAAGTACTTATAATGGGTTTAACATAGGTAGCCTAGTGTATGGGTGGAGAAAATGTACACCCTAAATACCTCAATTTTCTACTTCTTAAGACCCTACTAGTCTATTTTGTGGAAACATGTTGTTGATTAGTACAATGCAAATTAAAATTAGCCTACATTTGGAGGATATTGAGAAGCATAACTTTGAAGCTATATTTTAGAATCCATTTTTTCCCTTTTACATGCTGGGAACTATATCCATTTCCATGCTACAACTAAGGAGAACCTTCACCATGCCTATAGATATACAATATCTACCTTTTTTACCTGAACTCCAGCGGAGCTATTGGACTTCATTTCTAGATTTGGGACAAGGTAAATCATGTCACAAGTCTGTGGACTTTTTTGCTGAAAATGTGATATTAGATGTACATACAATCTGGATGATTTCTATAGGGAAAAGCAAGCACGGTCTTAATTAACATTCATCACAACTAATGTATTCAAATCGGGTGAATTTCTGATAGTTTAAAAGTACAGAGCAAATCACTTCCTCATTTCTGAATAAAAACATAATAGACAAAACAGCCCCAAGAGGATCTGAGGGAAATTACTTAATCTTAATATGTAGTATAACACAATGTTATTCTTCACCCAATTTTCTTATATTCTTGTTCCAAACATGCATTTATGTAAAACCTACAAGGAAAGACTAAACTAACCCCATTCAATTAATATTGTTTTGAAATGAAGTCAAATCATGCTATTAATTAAAATAAAAAAATAAAAATTGAAAAAAATCCCAGAGACTATAGGTGGGTTTTTACAATAATTCATACTTTTATAAACACTGTAAAATCAAACATAAGCATAAAGCGTGTTCGAAGCAAAACAAAAGAGAAGCCCTTCTTGAGAAAAAAAGCAAACAAGGTTGTAAATAACACAAATATCACACATCCAATATTCTTAATGTCTTTCAAACATCTATATGACAAATAACCATCATTACCAGTTTAACACTTGAAAGCATGGCCTTAAGGTGTTCAATCTCCCCTTTCAGTTCCTTAATTAGGGTGATATTGTGGTCTTCATTTATGGTTGGACGGTTGATGATACTCTTGGCACGTTGGGCATAACGTAGTGTACTAATGCTTTCACGGTATTGTTCTGAGGCTGGAGATATAGCTGCAATAACATTGCTTACATATACTGGTATATCAATCAAGACAATAACATGGCAAAATGTCACCACCTGTATATGTTACCCCTCTATTAAACCAAACTTGTTCTCAACCATTCTTTCAAGTCCTACAAGAAAGTCGTGAATGGGCGAAATCTGGCTGTAGTCGGGAAATATGTCAAAAATAATTAGCTACTTCATTCCTTAACAGTCTTCAATGTGTCCATCTCATTCGCAATTCATTCAGATCACACCATCTCGGCATGGACATGTACACATATGTACTCTTATCCAATTGAACAACATTATGAACATGTCCCAAGTAGGGTCGAAGTACGTCAGTTATGTTCATATGCTAGTAAGTCATCTCATTTGAAGTACGTTGTCACACGATTTAATTACAGAGTATGGTTGCCATCGGATTTTGAAATGGTTCAAAATTCTAAATCACCTTTGAGCACGTCCAGCTCATCTTAAGAATGATGTCACTCATTCTGATTGAAGAATGTGACAACCACCAGAAAATTTTAAGCATGCCCTAAGTTCTGGTGGACATACATGTTTGAGTATGTTCATGAAGTTTGTAAATAGACCCCAAATGGCTCTTAGTACGTCCAATCCATTCATATAGTTGAAGCTCGCTTTTGAGTAGTGAGAACTAGCTTTGTGTGATGGGGAATAACTGATACCACCACATGCAAGTGCTGGTGGCAATAACAATATGTTACCACTTTATGGTGATTTACTAAAAATGACATACACAAGAAAACATGCTATGACTTATGAAACTTCTCTAATGTATGTACAACAGTTACATTACATACAGCAATACAGTTTGGAATAAAATTATCAATCAAGATTCACTTGTGTTTTGATTTGATTTTGAGTGGGTCATAATCAGGGAACACAAGAGGTAACATATGAAGAACACAAACTTACAAAAATCTCAGTAAACCATTTAAACAAGGAAGGGTAATCACTTACTTGAGATCATGATAGATTTGGCATTGCCTCCAAGACTGTCTTTTAGTAACCACGTTAACACAGAATCTCTATATGGGATGAATACTTGACGCTGTTTACGAGGGGTCCCTGAAGGAGATGTGACTACGCTAGGGGGTCTTTGTTCATCTGTGCTAGTACTACGTAAACTAAGAGTGGACCCCATAGATGTCTCACTGCTCCAAGATAAGAGAGATTTTTCAGCTGAAATATTCAATCAAAAATATCAACTGTGTGATAATCATCCTAAACATGTTTGACAGGCTGGATTATAATCAACAATTCAATATCAACACAATTTTCTTTCTTAACACACATCTATTCATTTCAAGAGAATGTTAGGAACCTTCTGATTACTTCATTATCTCATCTTTGAACTGAACTGCTCTACAGAAAATAATATAATCAAAAACAATGTTACTTCACCTTAAATATCTAATTCAAAAAACATTCCAAAAGACCACATGCAGTATGGCAAGTGATTTTAGATGGTCATATCTTTTATCATGAGTACTTTCTGGGCATAAATACAGTGGTTTTTATTAAAAGAATATGTTTTCTTTCAAGTGAAGTACCCATGGTGATAAAAATATAAATCAAACACCTCAAAAAATTATGAATAGGGACCCCCTTTTCAGAAATTGTTGATATAGTGTAGAGGAGACTTTCGATATGTTTAAATTGAGAAAAACAAGATCCTCTTTTCAGAAAATAAGCCTAACATTTTTCAAAAAGTGCGGAGGTGGGGCCGTAATCCATAATTTTTCAGAGGGTTGGATTAATATTTTACTATCATTGGGACTTCACTTGAAAGAAAACATTTTGTTTTAACAAAAGCCTGGGACTGTATTTATGCCCAGAAAGTATGATGAAAGATATGACTGTCTAAAATCACTTGCCATACTGCACGTGGTCTTTTATAATTTCCCAAATCTCTATTTATATGAATGTTCATCTGTCTGGTAGTAATGTACTATTAACAAAGTTGTTGATTTTCTTTCTCAGAGATATTTATCTTTCTTTTTTCTTAAAATCAAGAATTAAACAGGGATCAGGGTTATACACTATTTTAAGATGGACTCGAAAAAACTGAAAATGGCCGCTTATCAGTGTATTTGCTATACCTCGCTTTGTGGGAAAACGAGTTTAACTGGCTAACTAAAGATAATGACGGCATTTCAGAGAGAATTCTTAAAATTTATGCTAGAAAAGACGGCCCCCGAATGCTCAAAACTTGACAATTTTAATTTCTTCCTTTATTGTATGACTTGTGAAGGTACCGAGATAAACCTGGTCGCAAAATTTATTTCATCATGCGATGTAACTTAAACAAAGCCAGTTTATCAATAATATGTCATGACCCTTGGTAGTCTTAACGGACACTACTTAGTATAATCTACTGTACTAAAGCTAGTAATATTTAGACTATGACCATCTATATTCTTTGTCATGTTGTATCTACTAGCCACATATATATACTAGTATGTATTTATTCACATATACTAGTAGCATTACTACGGATGGTGGGAGGTCCTCCATCTATCTAAGTAATATATGGAGGACTTCCCACTATCCGTGGGCATTACACATTTATATTTCATTTTTGTACTTAAGTAGTTTGTAGTTAGTTGTATGCTTTGTATATGACCCCTGATGGGGATTGAAATACAATAAAGCTAATAAATTTGTAAATTTGTACAATTTGTACTTGGGTAGGGAAGTGGAACATCTTAACCAGGGGTTGTAAAGATTATCAACACAGTTCTCTGACGAAACACAGTACCAGCGACGGTCACAAAGATGCCTCCCAGGCTCAACGCCAGGATCAACGTCTCAGAGCCGGATTGCATGCTGCTGGGGTGAGAGCTGATGATTCATTGACGAAGCAGATGAGAACTGCCCATCTCGCAATGAATTTTCTGCCTAGGAGAGATTGGATCAACTCATTCGTATTTCTTAAATCCTAACGAAATTGTTGTTCTATGCTTACCTAATGATTTTATCACAGTACCTAGGGTGACCAAGGATTTATTTATATTAGCACCCTCCTTGAGTCGCCCCTTGTCATATGAAGCGCTTGAATCTGCCCGCTCACTGAAATCATCAAGGTCATATATTCAAATACTAAATGTTTTAAACAAGTAAAATGACAACTGGTGTGCATTTGAATAATGGCCTAGTGTCATGTTATTTTCCTAGACATGGTGGTCCAGATTGAGAATAATTACTGATACAGAGCCACAATTGTAGTATACCAGAGGCCTAATTCATGAAAGCTCCGCAAGCTTGCGTGTCCGCAATGTATTTGCGGACCTATTGCGTGTCCGCAATTTATTGCGTTACGTCGTATTCACAAAGCTATCCGCAAATCCAGGGCGTGTCCGCATGTTATCTCCGTGTCCGCAAGCCATGTCCTTTACCGGTGTCACTAATTTAGGGCACCTATGTCAGTTTGACCCCTTATAGCGACCCTTGTTAATTTTGACCTCGGGTTGACATTCTGCTTCACAAAACGGCTGATGAGGTCGGAAAACAACGCTCGGAGGCTTTCTCCAGTATTCAATTAGAAGTTATGATGGACATCATAGAAAAAAAGTATGATGTGTTGACGCATTCTCTAAGTGATCTGCTCACGTTTAAAAAAAAGAATGAGGCATGGGATTGCATTGTGAGGGAGGTAAGCTTAGATCACCAGTATCGGCGTCTTGAACCCATAATTTTACGTCCCGTTAGATGATATATTTAGAATTTGTTGCTGATATGGGTTAAATTGAGTAAAGTTGTAAATAAAATTATCTTATTGACCTACAGTCAATTTATCTAAACTGCAATTTCTTATAGTATCGGAATAAAATAACACATTGTATTCTATTGTACTGTTGTATATCTCAAACAATATTTGGACTAATTTAATTCCTCACTGGTCGATATCAAGCGAAGGTTACTGCCGTCACTTTCGCATTCAAGATGGTAAGAGATAAACCCACAACCACGGAGCCAGTATAGGCGATCCCAATGACTTCAATTGTTTCTACACAGTTATTCATAAGAACATTGGAAACAAAAATATCTGTAAAAATTCGAGCGACGCTTGCTTCTTGTCATGCTGTTCTTCGTCCTGGATCTAGAATGATAAGTTCATCATTATTTACTCTAAATTGCGGTAAAAGAGACGCATTTTGTAATTCCCTGCATCATACTCATAATCATATAAATATCTATGATTCGATGCTTTCCACACCATACTACTAATATAATATCATTTCAAAACAGTTAATAATGATTGAAAGAAATATTCAAGAAAAATCTTCTGGTTTTCTTCGCACGTAAATCTCTGTTTCTTTTAACATTTCTCTTTAATCCGATCTATCCTTAAAGGAATATACTTTGTTTAGATCGATAACTAACAATTTCTAATGAAAATATTCGGGGAAACGAGTCCTTCAATTCGGGGGATCCTCTGGGGATTTTACAGTGTTGTTTATACATTGGTTAATTTTAGCGATCTTTTAATACCGTAAACTCACCGTTTACTTCTGAAATGGCTCTCAGGGAAATTTTGAGGAAAGTTAGACCGGGGAACCCTCGAACCCCCGGTGGCTACATACGGGAAATATGTGTATATCCCTCGGTCCCTGCGGTCCCTCGGGATATACACATGTTTCCCTTGGGATAAAATCTGCAAAAATTTCAGGAGCGGGACCGGGATTGATACAGCGTGTATCCATCCCGCCCCGGGCCTTGGCTAGATACAGTATATATTCCCACTCGTTATGTACCTAGAACCTCGGTAGGTATGAAATACTATAAGTTATTGAATGATTTGAAGTGCAATACAGGATATATTCTGCTTGAGAAATTCCGTATTGGTACGAGACGAAGTCGAGTGCCAATACAGAATATCGAGACAGAATATATCCTGTATTGCACTTCAAATCATTCAATAACGTTTTTATCGTGTGATCCTCTGTATTGCTACTGAGATGGTCCACTCCGTACCAATATTTTCTGTATTGCGATGGAGCTGATCAACGGGGACAATCTCAGTAGCAATACAGATTGGTACAACACAAGAACTGACCAATCAAGGGGCTTCATTTTACAGATCATACGATAAAGAGTTGTATATCATCTTGACAGGTGAATAATGATAAAAGTTATAACATAATCGAGAGCGAAATCTACTTCAAAATATATTCCAGAGGTGATATTAAAATTAGAAGAATGATATGGATATAAGATATGATAAACTTCCCTCCATAAGTTTGGCAATCGTTCTTGTGTTCATGAACTGACGATGACAAATAGCTACCAGAGGGTACTTATTATTCATATTCAAAATGTACATAATTGAAGTTGCGGTGTTCCGCAACATTGAAAACCTTAAAAACTACTCATAACACATTGCTTTTACATCCATATTTGAACGTCTATATCACATTCTACTTTTTATTTTATTTATTTAGAAAATTGTCCTGATGAAAGAATGATATATGAAATACACATGTACGTATTTCCATCACTTAAAGCTAATGTTAAATGTGTTCTCAAGGGGATTGATTACGCTGAATTTTCAGAGAGTGACTTGCGGTAAGTACAGAGGTACCGCACGATAATGACGTAATTCTCGCGGTACCGCAAGATATCTGCGGTGATGCTGATTTTGCGGCCCTTTTGTGAATTGGAAATAGCGGTACCGCAGGGAGTTGCGGAATTCCGCAAGCTTGCGGAGCTTTCATGAATCGGGCCTCAGGTGTATAAAACCTGTTTAGTTACTTTTTGAATTTTACTTTAACTTTTAAATAGTAATAACATTCTTATTTATTCAATTTAGAAACTTCTCCATATACTAGAATGGCATTAATTTCTGTGACATCCCCGTTAACAGTTCTATTGTTCAACTGTCTTCTTATTTGGAACATAGAGAACATTTTGCAGACAAAGTCACATACAATAATTACAGTATAAGAGAGTGCTGCTCTTATTCATTTTTTTTAATAGGCAATATACAATGTGGACTGTTATTCACATTCACATATTACAGTATATAAATGGCCATTATCAATGGGTTAAGTAACTATTATCTAACATTATATAAAGTATGTTTTAGTGTTAATCTCATACTATTTTTTTAGAAAACAATACAAACCTTCCTGCTAAATCTACTAGATGTATTTTGCTAACTATTTCACTTGGCAGATCTGTGTCAATTTTAGCCTGGAAAAGATTTTTTTCAGAATTGCTTACATGTAGGTAATAAAGTTGTATATGTGCACTCAAACATAAATATATGGCAATGTCAAAATCAGATTTGAATTTGGTAAAAGTTTACAATCAAAGTGAAATATACCAATGATCAGAATATTTGTTGTTATCTGCAACACATATAATAATAATAGTAGTTGATTTAAATTCTGGAAGATATGCTTCTAATTGTATATACCTGAGTAAAGTTTATGGTAAATATGGCATGGCTTCTACTGCTATGGTCATGTATGTGTGTGGCTGCAGTGGCACGGTTATAATTGCCCTGGCTAATCAGATCTTGTATAGTTTCATTCTGCTTCACCAGGTGGTGTGACAGGTCTGCAATATATACAGTAGGTGTTGAATTATAAATAATGAGTAGAGAGAAATTTCTGTTTGTACCAGTATATGAAGAGAGATTGTTACATTAAGTGACATGGAACTACATTCATCCTTAACAATGAGGTTAACACCCTCTGTGTATGATTGATCCTTATTACTCAACGTGCTTACATTACTAAGGATTATAACTGATTTTTTCAGTAAAACTGTGACCTTATTATACTAAAATTGAGATTATGTTTCACAGCAAGTTCCGAGAGCGATTCTGTATGGCGCATTCTCATGGGAAATGAATGTATTTTTTACAGACAACAAACACGTATCTGTGGATAAAAGAGTTATAAAGCCTTAGCGACCCAACCGCCCTAGTTTACATTCGCTAAAACATGAGAAAAATAGGAAAATTGTCATAACTTTTTTAATACTCTTATTATTATTGAAGCCAATTTCACTGGTCGGCAATGGGTATTTTAGTCTTACGCGAACTGACCAGGGTAAGTGGCGATGATAATGTCTCCAAATAAAAGATAATTTGAGGTGAAGACATTTGAATCAAGGCCACATATTAATAAGGAATGGCTTGGGTCGGTAAGACTTTATAACTCTTTTATCCACAGATACATATTTGTTGTCGATGAAAAATACATTCATTTCCCAAGAGAATGCACAATACAGAATTGCTCTCCGAACTTGTGAAACAAATTTTACTGAATATAGGGGCTTTCTGGCCTTATCTAAATGGATTAGAGTCTTAGGGAACAATTTTGGGTAGATGTAGTCATTCCTGGATGGCAAAACATCTCAGGGCCACAAAGGTATTTGAATGATCTTCATTGGACATTGTGGTGCAGAGATATCATATTTTTACTGAGTGACTCCAAAACAAAATTAATAAAAAAAGGTTATAAACCACCTTAACCTTTCATGACTTTACCAATATAGTGCTCACTTGAAGCCTTACATTGAACATAATAGGATTACCTTGAACATACGGGCCATCCTGAGGATGCTCCCTCACTTTGAGAGTATATTTCTGAGAAGTTTTGGCAGCACCAGTTGGAAGGAGATCTCTAACACGTTCATTATAAAGCTCTAAGTAACTGAAAATAAAAGAAAATGGTTGAAACACATAATGTAAATGCCATAGATTTTGTACAAATCAGACAAGACAATATATTGGTGCTATACATACTGTACAAACCTTAAAGTACATACATCTTGATTTTGATATGGGCCACATTTTGATATTGGGCACATTTTGATAAAACATATATACATCTAAAGGCTATTCATATCCATATAGAAAGATAATGCATCATTCACCCTTTGTGTCGGTACTTCTGCAAAGATAATTTGGGGAATGTCATTTAAACATAGTTTTGAAAAAATATTTTGATTTTAAATATGTATCCTTTAGCAATATGTAAAACATCAACATGAAATTTTCAATAATTCATTTAATATTGTTGATCTACCTAAATCAATGACAGTATAATCCAGTCACTTTTTAACCAAACTGAACCCCCTCCCGAATTCATATATTATTAGAATGCCACAGATTCCATTGAAAGTAAAAGTCTCAGAGTTATTAATTAATTAATTTAATAAATGACAACATGGACTTGATATTGGGACTGGAGTGTTTTGAGATTAAACAAACAGGATTTTCCCCTTAACAATTGCTGATACATTTGGCCAGTGGTTATGATGAACTGGATCAATTCTTAACATTTTATGGTCCTTAATTTGCTAATAGATCTATTGAACCAATTTTTTAATTAAAAGTCTCTTGGAGTTCTTGACTGTTTCACCTCTTTGAAATGAGAATTGCACAAAGGTCATGGGTTAAGTCCCATTTGGATGGCTGTCCTTTACAAACTATAAACAAGTTCTATATCTTAATATCAGCTCATTAAAAATGTGCATGAATATGTAGTCCACCCGTGTAGCTCAGCAATAGCATGTGTACCAAATATGCAATAGGTCCCAGATTCGATCCCCCTGTTCTGGCAATACTTAATTTGCTTGTCCACAACTCGTACAAAAGGCCATGGTGTGTACTAGTATGTCTATGTATTAGTGCACATAAAAGAACACAGTGCTCCTTCAAAGAGGGGTTTCTGGGTCTGTCTTCCAGGATTAATTACATAAATACGACTGTACATATGGGATAAACCCAAGAGGTATTGCTCACCTTCATTGGTGGTAAACAAAATACAATACAATACAATGTGGGAAGTGTTATTTTACACATGAGTAAGATCCATAATCCTGTGACATTTATTATAACATATAGCAGAATATAATACCTTTTTCAAAATGTTATGCCAAAAATTTCTTTCTAAGATACATGAGACAAGGTACATGTACCAATAAATTCTACCAAGCTACACACCAAATAATTGTTTGAAACTTTATTTTTGTAAAATAATATGTTACAAAAACATAAGGGTGACTGCCATGAATACAAGTAACATTGTTAGCACAAATGAAATCTTAATTTTTTATTATGTAAACATATTATAAAATAAAAACTGAAAATCTAATGGGGATTTGAGAGTAATATTTACCCTGTCTATTATTGCCTCAACATTTCAACCTATAATTCCTTTAAAATCTTGACCCCGAAATGACTTCAGCAAATATCATGTATAAAAGATCCCAAATCCTTTTTTGAGATGCTATTGACAAAGGTGGGTAATTTGATCCCATCAGCCCTGATCATTGACCCAGTATTTTTTGATGACGTTGACTCTAAAAATATTGTCAAGAATTCTTCATTCAGAATTTTGACATCTGTTATTTGCCTGTTGAACTTGTCCAAAAGCCATTAAAATCTTTAATCTGAAGTTTTTAAGCAAATACAATATTACAGAAATAAATTTTGTAATAATCATAAAAAGGAAAATGAATCCGTTAATCATGCAATGTCTAATTTAATGGAAGAAATTTGAAAACAAACAATACAATAAAATGTCAATTTTGAGTAACATAACATTCATGAAGTATTAAGAGACACAATTGTAGTTTTGTATTCCCACTTAGCATTTACAATATGCCTATTGCATTAGGAATATATAAGTCTTCATAAACATTCTAATAGCGTAATAACAATAAACTTCAGGTCTGACAAGTTCTTATCTAAAAGAAAGCAAGATGTTAATTATTCCTGATAATCCCACTCACTTTTACACTGCTAAATATATGATTAATTCTCATAAAAACATTTTAAGGGAATGGTGGTCAACATGCAGTTGAGGGGTGTAGCTTATTTATTCAACAATATTTGCAAAAATGATCAGTCCCTGACAGAAAATCTTATGGAGAATTATCTCTGAGTTGAAACTAATTCAATAACTTATTTTACATTCAATAATGACTATGTCATTTTATGAATTGTTCATGTAAGGTATATAAAGCTTAATATAAATAGGTCTTTAATCATAATCAAAACCCCTATAAACATACCTGTCCCTATAGTCAACATATTACCTGCCAACATCAAGGTTAAACATTTTGAAAACACACCCTTATAAGAGGCACATTCGGATATTTAGGGATAATTGAAATGGGTCTAAAAACTTGAATTACATGGAATGTTGTGTCTGATACTGTGATGTCATGTAACCATAGCTACCATAGCTCTACCCAAGTTGCATACATTTTTAGAAGCTTTACAGTTTCAGTTGCAATACTTGAAAGTATTTAACTGTTACTTTCATATAAACAAATCTTTCGTAGGCCCTAATACAATAAGTTATTTATTATTAATAATCTGATAAAGGTCTTTCATTTCTGAAGCTAAAAGACACATAAAAATTGAAAAAGACCCCAAAATCATAACAAGGCATTAACATGCAAAATGTCAACAACTGCTATTTGTTACAGATGCCGAACACCAACTGCCGTTGACATAAAAGTTGGAGACGATAACAATATATCACCACTTGTGGTGGTGACATAAAAAGTCAAGAGAATAGGTAGTTAGAAGTCTTGTTTCAAGTCCTTGCCCTTGGTCAGAGGCTTGGTCAATGGGGCCATTCTTTCAAGTGTTTATATTTGCCCCAGGTCCCCTGATTTTTGGATACTATGGCAACCATTTTTTGATCAATCAGTCATTGTATGCTCCACATTCTACGTAACTTATACCAAAAAATAATAGTAAACAATAGAAAACAGCAACTCCGAGAAATAGCAAATCCCACCAAACAAAACATGTTTTGAAAAATAGCTGCCATCTTGAAAGTTTCTGCTTGAACAGAGATCCTTTGTCCCTAGGTATCAGCATTTAAAGTTGAACCAAATGTGTCAACTTGTATTTGAGTCATCAAAGATTACATTCTTTTACGAAAAATGGTGGCCATTTTGAAATTTAGCTGCCATCTTAAAAATTCCTTCTCAAACAGAGCTCATGTGTCCCTAGGCATCAACATATAAAATTTGAACCAAACCCATCCATTGGTATTTGAGTAAATCAAAGATTATGTTGTTTTTATGAAATCTGGTGGCCATTTTGAAATTCAGTGGACATCTTAAAAGTTTCTTCCTGAGCAAAGCTCTTTTTGTCCCTCGGTATCAGCATATAAAATTTGAACAAAATCTGTCCATTGCTATTAGAGTTATCAAAGATAAAGTTTTTTTAACGAAAATAGAAGGCCATTTTAAAAATCAGTAGGCATCTTGAAAAGCATCAGCATATAAACCATATCTAGTATTTGAGTTATCAAAGAATACATTTTTTAAAAAATGGTGGCCATTTTGAATTGAGCGGTCATCTTGAAAATTCTTTCTCAAGAAGAGGTCCTACACCCATAAGGCATAAGCCTATAAAATCTGAATCAAATCCATCAACTGGTATTTGAGTTATCATCCGGACAAATGAATGGACGGATGAACGCAGAAATAGTTCATTTGATGGGATAATTAGAGAGAATATTACAGTCACCCTTTTACTAGAGAACAATTTAACCCTTTCTACAATGAGGCAAAAGGCCCATCATCAATGTAAAGAAAAAAATTATTATAGAAAGGGTAACACATCTGGAGTAAGAAGATTAGTAAACTGTGAGTGCCCAAATACCTCCTCAAACATACTTCTATGTTCATAATATTGACATGTAAAACAAAGGATGTAAGAACTGGATTGAACAATCATACCTTTTGAAACTCACCTGGTTGAGGCCTTATATTTTAATCCCTTTCATAATTGATGATGCCAAAATAGTTCAGGAATTGCAAGAAATATGGCCAAATTCTCCCTTTGTCATTGTGATTTCAAGACTCAATATATTTTCAATATCATCTATTATGTTGGAACCCGGAATAGGAACATATTGAGACAACATTTAACATTCATGAAAATGGGGCAAGTAAACTTCTACTACAGTTTCTTTCAGTTCACCTGGTAAGGGCAAATGCATCACATACTATTGTCAAACAATGATAAATAAAGCTGTTAACACACTCAGGTATAGTAATTTGCTTGTAAGGACTCATGAAATATATGAAATTATACTATGATTTACCATGACCTGACCTGAGTATACAAATAGCAAAAAGATGTAGTTGAATTTATCCTGTGGCTACATGATAACTTGGAATTAGGCTGAATCCAAAAGGATACAAACTCTAATTGAATGTAACTTAAAAGTATACCATTTAACATTACTTGTATCTCATCTTGATTCACAAGGTTTCAGTTGTCCCAACTTCAATTTCTATTGATAGCTCTATTAGTAGTCAAAGATGCAATATCTGACATCAATTCATACCCGACATTTATTACATACCTGACATCTATCCTGTAAGAAACACTTTCATCTGTGATGTCATCCATGCGGGAAAACAAACCCTGAAGGAAAGAAAATGATACATTTATTTTTTAAAACACAAAGGTTGAAGTCAGAGTTAATTTAAATAAATAGTACCATGGGTACTGGGCTCATATGGTGTTGCGCAAAAGTGGATGATGGCTAAAATGGCAGAAAATAAAAAAAAACGGATAAAACTTTTTGCCGATTTTTGTAACAAAATTATTTCAACAACTACTCTTTACAGTGGCATGGCTTTTTACAATGCAGGACACATGAAATTATTGGTAAAGCTAAGAAATGGGCCTAAGGTGAATTTTGTGAGACAGAAATGGTGTCCATTTTGAAAATAAGCAAACTTTTGAACCAGGAGTCATAGGGGAGTTTCCTGTATTGATGTTGAATAATATCGACAGAGGTTTAAAGGAAAATGGTCCAAAAGTGGATTTCCCGAGACAGATGGACAGATCAATGCTAAATAAAATGGCTAAAAATAAAAAACGGATATAATTTTTTACCAATTTTCTGTAACAAAATTATTTCATACAACTACTCTTTACAGTGACATGGCTTTTCACAATGTAGGACACCTGAAATTGTTTGTAAAGCTAGGAAATTGGCCAAAAGTGAATTTCGGGAGACAAAAATGGCGAACATTTTGAAAATAGACGAGTAGGGAATCTTATAGACAGAGATTTTAAAGCAAATGGTCCAAAAGTGTATTTTGCTGGACAAAAATGGAGGCCATTTTGAAAATAGGCGAGCTTTTGAACCAGGAGTCATATGGTCTATATTGAGTCTATAGAGTCTATATTGATGTTGAACAAAAATAATTTAAAACAGAAATCCTATTGACAGAGGTTTTAAAACGGGCCTATTGTTGACAGAAAGACAGATGGACGGACAGACAGACATATGTACGGACGGAAGGAGGCGTTCCCTATATCCCTCCATACTTAGTTCGATGGGATAATGAATCCAATCTATTAATTTGAAACCACTGTGAAAGTAACAAGAAAGCAAATACTTGAATAGCTCAGGCTGTAAAAGTGTTTATTCCACAATCAATCAAAACACTATCTTGAACCAGGCTTGGCCATGAATAATATATCTGTTGATGAATTTCTGATTATCAGTGAAATGCATCAGTTATCAGATACATTCATCTGAATAAGTTTTATAACAAAATCACTGTGCGGTATCCGGGACTGCATGCATACTATGCATTCTATTTCTGTGAAAAGTGCAACATCTTAACTTATGTGTCGGTAATCAAAAAACCGATGACAATTTTTTATTAATCTGCTTACATTTTAAAACCTACGTTCATCTAGACATAACTTTCGTTATCACATGGTAGAATCATATAATCTAATGGATGTATGAAACTATAAAACAATGCGAATATGCGCGCAGTTTGTCAGTGTTACAAACTGCGTGCATAGTAGGCACGCAGTTTTGATATCGTGCCATGAAATCAATTATGCAATTTAAAGCAGATATTTCAGAGAAGTTCAATAAATGTGGAACAATGAAAAAATCTGCCTGCAAAAACAATACTGTGTAGGTGGGTATTAAATACTATTCTGTCCATATATGCCTTTATCACAAATATTCCAATAAGTAAAATATCACTTTTGCCATTCTTATATCTTTCCATTTATAACATTTTATTAGTTAATGAAAATACAGAATGAATCCTGTGCTGAGGGCTGATGTGAAAAGTCAGTCTACACAAGTAGGGATCAAACCCACGACCCCTCGTTTTTTGAGCGATTGCTCTGCCACAGAGCTATAGGACCAAATATGAGTAACCCATCTTTCCATTTGTCAATCATTCTATTCATGATGTCACATGGACTTTCCCATGGGCCATTCTCCCTCAGGAGAAATAGAATCTCTCCCTCTTCCCCACTTCACTATTTACTGTAATGATGTTTTGAAAAATAAAAGAAGTGGGGAAGGGAATTCAGAAAGTTGAAGGCTTATGGATGGCTACATTTGTATAGCAACCCATAAGGAAAATCCATTACTATAGGTTATTTAAATATTTTCCACTAGGAGGCATTGTCACAGAATAATGCCTATATTGATTGATTTACCTGAGAAAAATGCAATTAATAAACGATAACATTCAATTCAGATTTGTTTCGTTTAGGATGAAGTGACATGCAATGGCAATCTGATAGTGTGCTTAGAAACTGTTTATTTGATTCTATTATTAACTACTATAATCAAAACGCAATTGCATGAATTCACAAAATATATTTCAATTTATATCATTTGCTTCTTCACTGAATTCATTGCTGCTTTATTCAATACAATTTTCTGTAATAGAACATACCTCGGAGAGTCTGGGGATGAGGCCTATATCTCCCTGAAACACAGAAAACACAAAACATTCATTTTGGATTATATATCATCATAATCCACAATTAGAATGAATGAGTAATGCCTGAGCTTTCACTTGATGAAGAAATTAATATGTCTGGGATTTATTAAGCATCTATTGATTCAATTGCATTATGTTTTTTCCAGCCCCATTATATTTAATCAGGAAAGCATGCAATCTTAAGTTAATGAGTATACAGCAAAATGTTTGGTACATAAATACCTTTCTAAACTTAACATCTAAAACATGAACACTTTTTGTTTTCAACCTATGTTTTCAAAGTCCCATTCCAGATTAATAATAATAAGGGGACTTGAAGTTACCCCCCTATCACACCAAACTCGTTCTTACCCGTTCTTGCCAGTCCTACGAAAACGTCGTAAAACGGGCTCAATCTGGCTGTGGTCGGGAAATATGTCTGAAATAATTAGCTTCTTCGTTCTTAAACAGTCTTCAATACGTCCATCTCCTTCGCAGTTCGTTCAGGTCGCACCACGTCGGTGTGCAACGCCGTAGAACGCGTCCCTTAGTCTAGAAGGTCATCATGACCTGATAACAGAACGGTATGGTCGCAATCGAATTTTGAATCGATTCAAAATTCTAAAATCACATTCCCGTCTGAGAACGTTCATGAAGTTCGTAAATAGACCTTAGAAAGTTGCAGGTACGTTCATTCCGTTCGCACACAGTTTAAAACCAGTTTTGAAGAACGCAGGGGCAACTTGTTTGGTGTGATAGCTATATTTTTGCTAACTCGTTCATAAGCAGTGTTAAATACGTTCTTAATCAGTTTAAACCCGTTTGCAATGAGTTCTACCTCGTTCTCAACACGTCCTCGGACAGTTCAACTCGTTGTTAAAACGTCCCTAGTAGGACTGAAGTACGACGGTTCCGTTCGTAGTACGTCCCGCTCGTCGTTAGTACGTTGTCACTCGTTCTAATTGTAGAACGTGACGACCACGAGAACATTTTGAGCATTGTCTAAGTTCTAGAGGACCTACCCGTTCGAGTACGTTCGATGAAGTTTCTAAATGGATCCCAAACGGTTCTTAGTACGTCCAGTCCGTTCGTACACAGTTGAAGCCCGTTTTCGAGAACGTAGTGAGAACTAGTTTGGTGTGATAGTAGGGTTATAAAATGAAGAAGTTTGGTAGGTTGATTATGATAAGTACCAGTGTTCAGTAATAGATAAACGCCTTCTAATTACCAGCTTATAATTAGGGCAGTAATTAAGTTGGTGAAATATTCTTGCTTAGTTGAATTATTCCCAAGACCTACTATTTATCTTACAACAGATTACAGAAGCAATGTGCACTGATATCTCATATGCATCAGGTTTGATTTTCTCTGAGTGCAGAGAAGAATACAGGAACTGTATCAAAGATGCTCAAAACTTTTAAAAAACTTCCAATATAACTCTAAATGCAAAACCTTTTAAATAATTCTAAATGCAAAATCGCTTTTTATTATCAATGAGCTAATATTTCTAAACTGCATTTTTCGGAGACAACCCAAAGAATATATTTATTCATACTGAATAATCAAAGAAGTACATATACTGAATTAGAGTTGATCCGTTGAATTGCGAAGACATGAAAGACACAAGTACTTTGTGTGCACTTTGACATTCCAGTTAGCATTTTGTTTGCATTTATTTTCAACTAAAAATATACAGAAACAATTTCTCAATAAGTCAAATATTTGGAAGATTTCAGCATAATATAAGTATATGTTAAGGATATTTTGGTGAATCGATATTTGACACGTCTTGGTATCCGTACACTCGTATTGTCACCAAACAAGCTGATAAATCATTATATTGAGAAATCTGGGACTCCTATTATATACATGTATGATAGCTTCTCAAAATAATTATTGGGAAAATGAATGATTTCATAATTTGATAATCAATTTGTGTTAAATTTAGTTTGCATCAAGCCCCAATACTCCTATTCTATTACTCAGGGTTATGGCATGTGGTAGATGAACTTACAGGGTATCCCATCATTGTATGAGTCTTTCCAGTGCCTGTCTGACCATAAGCAAACACACAGGCATTATAGCCTTCAAATGCCGCCTCCAGCACCTCGGTACCAAGATCTTGGAAGATCTAAAATATAAAGAATATGATGAATAATAAAGAATGAATACAGAATATCACATCATTTTAAGTAATATCATTTTTACAGACGAATTGATAACAAATATGAACACGATTGAGGGAATGATGTTAGCTGGACATGGAGCTGATTAACGATTTCTGAAAAATATCACACTCCAGGTCTCCATAATATCAGAAATATCACTAGCTTTCATTGTACAGATAACACAATAACCATGGGATAAAAAATATTATAGTGTTCATATTATACAGGGTGGGCAATAAAAATGGGACACTTTGTATCATTCTTAAAAGTATTTGAGATCACATAGACAAAACATGTGTTATATACCAAAATGGAGAATTTAATTAGCTTTATTTGAGAAGATATAATATTATGTGACTTGTCTTCAATGTTGTATAAATCATGACAATTTCACAATTCACAATTCACAAAAAACAGATTTTACAATCTGAAAATGAAGCAATACATGAAAAAAAGCATGTCTAATAAAGTCTGCCTTCTAACTGTGGTAATGCTCTAAATCTTGGAAAAGTAGTTACTGTACAGTATTGTATGCAATCCTGAAACTTTTGGTACCATTCACAAATCATTTTAACCTTTAAATTGTTTGGAATGGTTGATATTATTATATTGGTTGTAAAATTGTTTGGGATGGTTGATTGTATTATATTGGTTGTAAACTTGTTAGGAATGGTTGACTTGGAATGAGTTTAAGCTCAATTGGAAAGGGCTTTATCAGTGTTACATGTCAGCTAATGAGTTTATAATCTCTGGTCATCCATGACTAAGACCCTATCTATCCATGGCATAACTAGAGTTCCTCAATCAAATATCTTAGCAAACATTAATCCCTGGATAAGTATGTTGACTCACTGACAGTAATCTTAACCCAAGGAAATATTAATTGTAATTATTAATTTTGTATGCTTAGATATTTCACTATCATACCAATTTTCATACTGTTAAACCAGTGTATTCCTTCAGTCACACCTTGATGGATCAAGATGACCAATTTTACTATTTAAGACTTTAACATGGAATCTTAGCATTATAAGCTGCTCTTAAAAATGAACCTTCTACATAAAAAAGTAGGATTTAAAATTGAAACATGAATATTTTAAGGATTCACTTATAATAAGAAGAGACTATACATGTATATGGGAAGCAAACAAATATTCTTACATCAGTCTAGACAGAGCACTGTCATTCACAGTGGTGGTGGCAATAGTCACAAAGAAAGAATCATTTCAACAACAAATGAAAAATTATATATTGCACTAATAGAAATCAATTATGCTTTAAAATGATAGCACATAAATTCCAATAATTTCATATCTAAAATAGAACTAAAACAAAACAAAAAATTAAATCCTTTAAAAAGATTTAATGTAGTTTCATTAAAATTATACAATTTACTGATGATTTATAAAATTAGGATTATTATTTAACTTGATGATAATTTTCTACGATAATTTTCTATCTAATCTTTAATATAATACATACAGTAAAACCTGTATATGTGGGGAACACCTTTGGAACCTCTAAAATGTATTTTACTTCAGAGGTGTAGAATTATTGTGGTCATCAAACTGTCTCATAACCTGCTGGATTGGCAGACCATACTTATTTTCTTTCATTCTCTTGTCTATACCCATTGTAGGGTCAAAAAAAGGAAGTTAAACTCTATTTACAATTATATCCATGACTATAAAAAGTAATACTAGCCATAGTATACTCAAAGAAGACACCAAATTGATAGTAGATCCTAATGAATCAAGTTTATCGGCAAGGATAATTTACTCAGTATTTCTCAAATACTGATGATTATCTGTCATTTTCAGTTCAGATTTATCTTCTCCAAGGAAGCTGAGTTGATGTTCCTTCTTTTCATTATGTTTTGAGTAGAATCTATTAGTTTTATAGAAGGGATAAGATTAAATGCTTTGGATTTTTTTGAACTGGGAGCGAAAATTCAACGAAGTGCCAACAGGTTCCTTTAACATCGGCCTGATGGCACCCAGAAAAGTGTTTCTACAGAGGTGTTCTACTTCCAGGGTAGATCCACTTTACAGGTTTAAAAGTAGACTTCAATGGCAGGGTACCCTAATAATCTTCTGGTTTATGTTGACCACAAGCAGATAATAACCAACCTAGTGGCCTCAATAAAAGCTTTTTATCTAAATAACATATAATGAAAAACAGCCATGAGTGATTCCTGCTAATAGATTGATTGACAAAATCAATTGAAGATAAACCTGTTATGAAATTATGGTTTCATATTTTCATATAACTTTCCAATTACCCTTTCTAATTGTTTGCTTCTTTAAAGAGACCTTCATCTAAGCTCCAACCTGACTCAAAATACTTTAGAATATGATGTTACTAGATTCAATGCTACAAGTTAAGTGAGCTAAAATACATGTATATTATGCAACTTAAGAATGAGATGGGATTACAAAATCTGCCATATTAATTCAAGTTAGTACCAGCTGAATAACTTGTTTCTGGGACAAAGACTGTGTGATACCAGTTGAAAAAATAAATGTTTCGGATAACTTTTTCTTCCCTAAGGTTCCTAACTACTTTGCTCACATAACAAGATATCTCAAATTCTAATATCTTAGAATCAGATGTTTTTTCTTGCTTGCCCTTAAAATGTTCTAATAAATTGGTAAATTCAATATAAAATAAAAATGTAAAAATGTGGAGATACTTAAAATTTGAATAACTTTAAAATCAAGAATTCCACAGATCACCTCAGGAATCAAATAATTTAATTCAGCTTTCAACATCTTCTTTCTATCTGCAATAAAGTCCACACCTTAAATGGCAGGATGTTTTTTCTCTCTAACAGCCGTCTACGTCTAAGCTTTAGTTGATCTTATCGCCAATTCCTTTAATTGAGTACATCTGGGGTTTCCCTACCTTTACAAATGGTTTAAATGAGAATTGACACCCTTTTCAAAATACCAGTAGTCTTGCTTCATTAGTCCTTGTCTACCCTCTATAGCCTTGTAACAAGCATGTGCTGTAGTATCCCCCAAAAGACCCTTACAGTATCTCATGCACATAATCAGGGGCAAAGACTTGGTGCAAGACTATATCAAATGAAGTCCCTTCTTTCATTATTGAAAGAAAGAGCAAGGATCTTTTCCCAGGTACTAACCAGATACTAGCAGCTTTTGATCTGAGTAATGTTTTAGAGTATGAGAGAATCTGGGATGACTCACCATCAGCCAGGTATCTTTCATTGACAAGTCTGTAAAGTAAAAGCATTTGGAAGGGATGTTTTTGTAATAGTTTTCTGCCTCGGCCTATTTATAAATCCCAGTTGTGGATAATAGAGGACCAGAAAATACTTTGATGGCCATACACAGGTGAGAGGCAAATACTCATAGAGGTTAAAGACAGAACATCCTGATGAGTGAAAATGTTTTGATGAGTGACAAAACAGATATTGATGAGTGAAAATGTATTGATGAGTGACAAACAGATGTTGACAAGTGAAAATGTGTTGATAAGTGACAAACAGATGTTGATGAGTGAAAATGTGTTGATGAGTGACACACAGATGTGAGTAAAAATGTGAGAATGAGTGACAAAACACATGTTGATGAGTGACAAACAGATGCTCATGAGTAAAAATATGTTGATGAGTGACAAATAGATGTTGATGAGTGAAAATTTGTTGATGAGTGACAAATTATATTGATTAAGTAAACATGTGTTGATAAGTGGCAAATAGTTGCTGATGAGTGAAAGTGAGTTGATGAGTGCCAAACAGATGTTGATCAAGTAAAATGTTGATGAGAGATATTTAGATGAGTTGCAAACAGACATTGATGAGTGTAGCAGTTAATGAGTAACATCCATCAGAGGGACTCCCTACCCTTTTCAAAAGTTAAACTTCATCTATAGTCTGAGACGCACATCTTTGATTTAGCCTATTTCCAATCAGAATCTATAGTTGGAAAAGCATTTTCAGCATATTATCCAATATTTATATACATTAAAACTCCCACAAAAAACGCCATGAAAGCTACACTCAAGACATCAGCAGGAAGAAAATCATCATGATAAACCATGACTTCTCATTTCTTCTTAGCCATTTTCTGGCAGAGAAACAGAGAGATGTGAGGAGTATCAGATTAGAAGAAAAGCCATTAACATGCAAAATGTCCCCACCTGCCATTTGTTACAGATGTCAACCGCTGAACACCCAACTGCTGAATGCCAAACAACACCACCAAACAACAAAATCCACAAAACAGTTTGAGACTATAATGATATGTCACAACTTGTGTTGATGTAAAACTAATATCAGATTCAGAGTTTGGATTTCTTATATCCTGTTGCACAAAGTAACCTTACCAGGAATTATGTACCTACATTCAAACAACATAACTTATAAGCTGACAAATATACAGGAAGCAACCAGGAGGCCCAGGCTTGTTGTTCATGACCTCTGCACAAAATGAGTGACTTTTTCATCCTTTGAGCCACATGCCCACAGAGTCCAACATACTTACAATCCCAATAGAAAAAAGACCAATAGGAAATCTGAACAATTTTAATAAATAAAATCCTTTCTAGTCATTCTAATTTATTAGAGTACCACTAAAACTAAAACCTATTTGCCCTCTTCCAGAAATAGCAGTGAAACCCACAATGCTTTTCTAGCTTTTTAGTGATTTGTGCTCAATTAGACCTCATCCAGGTAAAACTCATAGGCCGGTATTTGACGGACAGACATGCTCAACAGTGAGGTAAATGCAGTTGCTGTTAAATCCATAATGTTCACAGATGCTCAATCTAAAACATGTTGACCTTCCTGGCTGGAGATATACAGGATGCACATGGAAACATATCAAGTTCTTCTATCCTTTTTTATCTCATGAAACAGATTATATATCTTTCTTACAACCAAGTCAGAACTACCATTCATATTGGTGTCTGTTTGGCTATACAGTTTATGGCTTCATGT